TCCTCTAACAGACTCTTATTTCTTCAGGTTAGATAAATCACTTTCAAGAACCTCTCATTCTACTATCGTCGTCCTCCCACTAACATCACCCAACCTCTTTTTTCCTCTTATCACCCAATCCTCCAACAAAATATGCCCTTGATTCTCCTCATTCACTGCCCTACTCCTCCCTGGACACACTTGACAGTTCTATTACATTCTCGCCCTTGTCTGGCTCTTGCACTTCTGGAATTAAAAACAACTGCATACAGAGTGAAAGAAGTTTTCAAAATATATTCCTCTGTAAGTGAAAGCAACGAGCTGTCCTGCCATAAATCTTTAATTGCTCTCATTGAGGAGCGGGAATGAGACTCGGTGCCACTGGGAATGGTGTTCAGCTGGTGTTTAATAAGCTCTATGTTTAAACTTCTCCACAAATCTTTCCCTTTTTTAACCACCCCTAAAAGATATTTGGGGCAACACGTTCATCCTCATATAAGATAACAGAGAAGTGAATTCAAACTAGGATTCAATCAGAATATCTATAACAGACTTTCAATCTGTTTGCAAGATTGGACTTAATTGATTTTGGGAGTTATTCATACTTTGTGTCGAGCTGATGCTACAGCAACAAATTGATATGAACTGCATTAGTTTTCCTTCTCTGTGTAGCTAGTAAAATCCCTTAACTTCAACTTTTAGAAAATTTAATTAGAATGTTGCACTAATTAAACTGGCAATTTAATTCAATTCAGTTTATTTATGTAGCGCCAATTCACAACACGTCATCTCAAGACACTCTACATAGACAATTTACCAGATCATACAGTCAAATTGATTCAAAGTTTAATATCGAAGGAAAACCAGCTGATTGCATCAACTTATTGACCCAAAAGCAATCCCTTACACCAAGCATCTTTGTAGTGACAGTGGAGAGGAAAAACTCCCTTTAAAGAGGAAGAAACCTCCAGCAGAACTAGGCTCAGTGTGAGCGACCATCTGCCAAGGCCGACTGGTGTTCAAGGAGACAGAAGCAGACTTAGAAAATGGAGCAGAGATACATACACATCTAACACACAGCAGCTTTAAAACTGCTGTTCACTTAGTGCTGCATTAATGCATATGGATGGAAGGTTAAGTGGAAGACAAACTTGCAGAATCAGAAAGCATGACCACAACCTTTAAAAAAAAAAATTCGGGGAATTTCACAAGAGGTGGTTTTCAACTGGAGCCAGAACTTAAAAGGTCACTCAAAACCAGAATATTGGAAGAGCTCAGCCATGGCTGTGACACTCATTATGCTAAGCCACCCATGAAGTAGGCAAAGGGTATGTCCTAAATCAAGGGCTGTATCCTCCAAAGGGCATGGTCCATGTAGACTGGGTCTTCAAAGACCTCAAAAACAATGAGGGAGGGAATTGTTCAGGTTTAAGCTGTGTAGCCTTTAGCAGCTGTCCACATCCTAACTCAGTGTAACTTTAGCTGTGACAAATAGACCTGTGGAGCCTGAACTTTTCTTTTTTTATATCCGTTATCAGTTAAGATAAAACCTAAAAAACAAACAATGCCATTTCAGATGAAGGCTCCTGATTTTGACAGACACATGTCAAAAATCAAACAAGACATGTCTTCAGCATACTGTTTTTTTTTGTAATTTTAGAAAAGCTCAAAACTATCTATTTTTAAATATATATAAGTTTAGAGGCAGTATTTAAAAAAACAAAAGTTTTCCTTATACATATTTAGCTAGAACAATCAGGTTTATAATCATAAAGTCTAATTTTGAATCTACAAACTATAGAGCAAATTTTACATGTTTTTATGGATCCTAACTCCTTAATCCTAACTCCTAACTCCTTATATCATTCATTTGATCCTTGATTACAACATCAAACATCTGTATCACTGTGATGGACTGGCGACCTGTCCAGAGTGTACCCCGCCTCTAGCCCATTGACAGCTGGAGAATGCATTGAAGAGCAAGTTGTTCATCTCTCAATATCTCCTACAGTAAAGTTAAATCAAATAATTACATTTTGAAGCTTTAATTTTAAGTTTAGCCAGGAATTACCGAGTAACAAATAAAGACTTGAAGAAGCCAAACATGAACGCATAGATATTATCTCACGGAATATCCACCCAGAAGTTTAACAGTTTAAATCAGGGTCTAGTAGTCTGGAAGAAGAGTGAAGAGACATAGAATCCAAGTTGCCTCACGTCCAGTTTGACATTTTCCCATCTAATCTGCTTGTTTTTGAAATTCGTCTTTAATAAAGTCCATTGAGAGAAGCCTTATCCCGTAATCGTGCTTTACTTTTTAAAGTTACTTAAACATATACATTAAACATTTTTATAATGATCTATACTAATTGGTTTAAATTCATCTGAAATAACACAACAACAAACAATTAACTGCACTCTTGTAATTTTCAGAGATCATTCGATACTTATAAAAGGAACATAAATGATAGAAAAGCAACAAAAGCCAAAATGTGTTGTTGCTTGTGTGCTAATATCTAATTTCTGTGTAAAAGTAGAAGCATTTTAAAGCTGAAGTCTGTAAGTTTTTAAAAATCACTTTTTTGTCATATTGGCTAAAACTGTCCCTATGCCCAGACAGCAGTACATGTGATATGTTACCTGTGGAAAAAACTGCTTCAATTGGTACCGCCTACTGCCTGTATTTCAATCTGGAAAGAATAATTCGGGACGGGTCAAAACAACCAATCACAGCCAGAGGAGCGTCTGATGGAGTGTCAATCACAGCTCACACACGCTGAATCCCGCCCCCCCCCCCCCTTCTGGTCGCATGCGGTAGCCGCGCAGATGCTCTGAGAGGGGTGGAGCTTGGAGGTGGGGCATGAGTGAAGCAGAGAGGGTGGGGGAGTGGAGTGAAACCTGTTTTTCTTCAAATTTTCAGTCGAAGTCTGCTCTCTCCTCAATGTTACAGACTGCAGCTTTAAGAAAGAGTTACCAAAAGCTCGTAAAGTCCATAAAATGTCACGCTGAAAAGATAAAAATGGAATTGAATTAAGGAAAGTGCAGGTAATACTTTTCCCTGTGACAGCTTTCAAAAATTATCTGAATTCCTCTACTTAGACGAATTCCCCATCAACTGATGAGTATAAAGGAGAATCAGTTCAATGCAGAACCGCAGAATTTTCCCTCCTGAGGCTGAGCTCCATACCAGCCACAAACATTTATTATTCAACATGCAATTCCACATCTCCTCCATCTCTTATTTAAAATGATACAGTGCAGCTCTTGGTAGTCACTTGTAACTGATGTGAGCCTGATGCGAACAAACCAAACGCACAGAACTCAGGAGTCAACAGCAGAAGATAAAGTGCTTAAGAGTTACAGCATGCAGAAAACGGCTAAGTCATTTTTTCCTTATCTGGTAGAGATTAAAACCTTTTTTTACTTTAAAATTTAATAAGAAAAAAGAAGTAAGCATTTGTTACATTGCAAAGATTATACACATGCTTTTAGTCATAGAACAAGGTTTAGCTTCATTTCCAAGCAATGCACAAATGAAAAGCAAAAAGCTTTGACTTTTGGCTGAACCTATTAAGTAGATTATTTTATTTCAAATTAGCTTATTTTAAACATTATAGGAAAATATAAACAGAAAAGTAAATCAAATAGATTTAGTTCAAAGTTTCCCAAGAAAAAAATCTCACCAGTCCATTTATAAGCTTAAACATGATTAAGGCAGAGCCTGGGTTCACCATGCATTGTCTAAAACAAAAATAAAACTTAATGAAAATAAATGTGAAAGCAAAAGAAAAATGACACTTAGGCTCTTAGATGCTGCTTGTATTTATTGTGATAGAGCTACATGAGCATGTGCTGCATGCACTTTATAATAGCACTATTATTCTTCTAGTTTAGCATAGAGTCAGGATTAACAGGAGTTTCTAAATAAACAAAAACAGGCAGACCTATAGATAATTAAGTTGCTGCAACTATTAAAAAAATGAATAACAGGGGTATTTTAGTTTTTATGTATTTATTTTGCTCTAAAAACATCTGTATGAAGTAAGTAAAGAAACTAAAAATAAATATGTTTTTTTGTTACACTGCATCAAACTTCTCCAAAATATCAAAGTAGACAGATTGCGGTTTAAATAATCCAATCCCAGAGGCAGTTCTAGACAGGGGCCAACAGGGGCCAGTGCCCCTGTAGAGCATGTCCTGGCCCCTGTTATGGCCCCTGTACTGAAGACATTATACTCAAAGAAATTCTAATGATGATATGCGCTGGAACAGACATGGTTACTGATAGGTAATTTGGTTCTATTTCATTTTTTTCTTTACAAATCCTGTTTTACTCATTTAAAATCAATAAGGTGATAGCTTCAGTGGTATTGCGATAGGATCCAGGTTTTCTTCTGCTAAATCTTTTCTTCAAAACAAATTGCTCTCATTTTTATGGCTGAATTTATTAGTTTTTCTTGAGTTCTAATTCAGATTTTGTAAAAAAAAAAAAAAAAAAAGGTCATTCTAACTTAAATTAATTCATTTATGTTAAATTCCTAAATTATGAAAGTAAATTGACCTAGTAGGACATATAATTTTAATTGAACCAAATTGAATAGAAATTTCACTTCATAAAGCTCTCTTAACGTGTTTGAATCCCTTGTCCTATGTTTTATTTCATGCCTTTCTGAGCCCCCATGAAAACATGCTGGCCCCCTCCTGGCCCCCTGGTACATTTGGTCTAGAACCGCCACTGTCCAATCCACCGGTTTAATTTCCTTACCCAGGCAAATTAAAGTTAAAATTAAATAGTATATAAGGATCACAATTGGGGGAAAAAGAAAAAAAAACATTATTTCCAGTCCTAAATGAAGGAGTTGAATAATTTCTTTAGGAGAAAAAAAAAAGTGAATTGGAGCAAAATTAAAGAAGATAATTAAATGATAAATTGCAATAAATTCTAAACTTTCCATTAATAAATCGTGCCTGTTCCTCCTCTGCTGGCATTTCAGAGCATCTTTACCAAAGTGCGCTCCTACCTGAACTTCAGCTCCGCGCTCCTCTCACCGAGCGGCTCAAACATCCGTCCTCCTCCCTCCTGCTCAGTAGGGAGATCTGGGAGTAACTGGAGACCAGCTGAGCAGCGGAGGTGCTCTTTGCAGCGGAGAGGCTGACAGCTGCTGGGGAGAGGACAGGGGGGTGGGAGGAGGGGGGCTTACATGCTCATTTCTCCTGTTTATATTTTTTTCTGGTGAGAAACAGCGAGAGCCACATGATTGGCTAGAAACAGAAAGGGGGTGTGGCCAAACTGTGAAGTTTGAGCCTCAGAAACTGACATAATTTCAGGAAAATATGTTTTCTTCTAAATAACCTGAATAATATATACGCATGTTACATATTCTATGAGGTGTTTGCACACTGAATCTTGATCTGACCTGTTTATGGGAATATGTTTCTATCTATCCAATGGTGGTCTTCTTTTTCAGTTACATACACTGAGTGCAGAATTATTAGGCAAGTTGCATTTTTGAGGATTTTTATTATTGAGCCACAATTGTGTTCTCAATCAACCCAAAAGACACCTTAATATCAAATTTTCATATTTTTGGAGGTTGATGTTTTTTTTTTTTTTTTTAGATTTGATCATTTTATGAGGATGTCTGTGTGTGCAGGTAAAATTTACTGTGCAGAATTATTAGGCAATGTAATTAAAAACAATATATAGCCGTCTTACTTGTTTATGTTCACCAGGTAAACCAATATAACAACTTAAAATTCAGAAATAAACATTTGCGACATTCAAAAACAAAAAAAAAACAAATCAGTGACCAATATAGCCACCTTTCTTCACCATGACGCTCAAAAGCCTTCCATCCATACATTCTGTCAGTGTTTCCACATTGCGTGCAGCAGCCACCACAGCCTCCCAGACACTGTTAAGAGAGGTTTACTGTTTTCCCTCCCTGTAAATCTCACATTTCATGAAGGACCACAGGTTCTTGTTGGGGTTCAGATCAGGTGAACAAGGGAGGCCATGTCATTATTTTTTCTCCTTTTAGACTTTTTCTGGCCAGCCGCGCTGTGGTGTATTTTGATTCGTGTCACGGAGCAATGACCTGCATGAATATCATGCTTTTCTTGAATGATGGTGACTTCTTTTTGTACCATTGTTTGAAGAAGGTGTCTTCCAGAAACTGGCAGTAGGTCTGGGAGTTGATCTTGACTCCATCATCAACCTGAAAAGGTCCCACAAGCTCATTTTTGATGATACCAGCCCAAACCAGTAGCCCACCTCCACCGTGCTGGCATCTGAGTCCATAAGAAACCTGCTGCCCTTTACTGATCCAGCCTGGTGCCCATCCATCTGGCCAATCAAGACTCACTCATTTCATCAGACCAAAACACCTTGGAGAAATCAGCCTTCAGATATTTCTAGTCCCAATCTTTACGTTTTGTCTTGTGTGTCTTGTTCAAAGGTGGCCTTTTTTTGGCTTTCCTTATCCTGGTCCCTGAGTATTGAGCACCTTGTGCTTCTCGTCACTCCAGACATGTTGCAACTCTGAAATATGGCACAACTGGTGGCTAATGGCTTCCTGGCAGCTTCACGCTTGATCCTTCTCAATTCATGGGGAGTTATTTTGCCTCTTCTTTGTTCAACACGCTTCTTGCATAACTGTTGGCTATTTGTCATTAACCACTTGATTGTGCCATGATCCTGCTAAAACGCTTGGCAATTTCCAGACTGCTGCACCCCTCTGAAAGTCATCTGACAATTTTTGACTTTTCAGAGTCTGTCAAATCTCTTTCCTGACCCATTTTGCCAAATAATTGCCTAATAATTAAGCACACCTTACATGGGGTGTTGATGTCATTAGACCACACCCCTTCTCATTACAGAGATGCACACCACCTGATTTACTTAATTGGTCGTTGGCTTTTAAGCCTATACAGCTTGGAGTATGACAACATGTATGAAAAGGATGATCCAAATACTCATTTGCCTAATAATTCTGCACACAGTGAATATTTGAGATATAACTGTGGCCTTAATGAGAGAATCCAGCCCTTATTTTCCTCTAATAGCAAACTGCAAGTGGCATCGTGGGGTTTACTAAGATCTTAGATGTTTTATGCCAAAACCTTGGCAGAAAGGTACTCAAACACAATGGCTATCACATATTTTATTTCTGATAAAACAATTTTTATGCTTATGCTTTCTTTCATGCTGGTGGAACCACTTTGGTATGAATGACCAGGACAGTCACTGAAAAATAAAGCTATTTCAAACTGGTTTTAAGTGCTTTAAGGGCCCAGAAGGGCAAAAAGGTACATGGAGAACGTAGAGTTATTAAAATAAGAAGGATTTGAAAAGGCAAGGTGAAAAAGGAAATTAAATAATTAAATCACCTTTTGAAATGTGTGATTAGAAAAGGTAATTATGTTACATCATACTGATCACTCTGAGAGCCCAACTGCATATGTTCTTATTGCTTTCAGGATGTTATTGAATATAAAGAATCAAATATGATCTTTGATTTCTTTCTGTTACAGATATAATGAAAAGTTACTCCTTGTTGGGTTTTTTTATAGCAGTGATTTTAAATCTTTTGTTAAATAGGTTATAAAACACCTACTTTCAGCTCAGAATAGAGTCACATTGAGTTTCTTGAATAGCTTGGGTTTCTAGTTCTAAAGAAATACATCCAGTTCTAGGAATATGGACGTGAGATTTAGAAGAGAAACAGTTTCCCAGCTCTTATTACAGCTTATTAACCTTGACAGCTATATTTCAAATGCATGGCTGTACAACCTTTTCTACAGCAATCATTGGGCATTACTGAATTATAAATAAAGAGCAGCATTCCTGGAGAAGAGTAGACATTAATTATCACATCATTGTCAACTGTCTCTGATCAAAATATGCAGTGAGACGTTAATCAGTGGAAACTAACTGATCAAAATAAGTAGCAAGAAGAAGTAATGAGCCCCAATAACATTGCTTATTATAAACTACAGTATGTACATTTTGCCAGGTTGATAGCTGCCATGCATGTAATATGTGACTAAATGTTCAACCGAAAAGCACTTTATGAGCGCTAGGATGTAACATTTTACATATTACGGCTTAAATGTGCTATGATGTATAAATGCCCTTTTATAAAGTCTATTTTAAACCACAAACATCTCCAGCTTAAATGGATTAAGTGAAAAATACTAAGTATTAAGTAAAAAAAATACTGTGCTAACCTTGCAATCCTTTAAATGTTGCTTCATTCTCCATCATGGGAGATATTTAAACCTGATTGAAAGTCGAGATTTTTTCCCCCAGCAGAAATACTCAGATGATGATTCAAATGCCATCTCTTTTTCAGTGTGCACAATAGCAGAGGAGGAAAACTATTATTTTTTATCTTATAAAGCTTTTAAGAAGAAATACATTTTATTTTTTGCCCAAAGAAATATCTTTCTCCTTTTAATTTTAAGTTATAGTCCTAATTAAAACTTGTAATTTTTATGGTAAAATATATAAATACAAAATTGTCTAGCAAGGAAAAGATAAACAAGTCAATAAAAACAAAGGTAGTCACATTTTCCTGATGGTTAATAATTTGAGGGGCACCTTGCTGTTTGCAGGTTTGGAGCAATCTGACTAATTGCATCAATTATGAAATCCTAGGCATTTATATCTGAGGTTGTTTATTGATTCTTTGCTTCTAACAAAAGCAGTATTTTTTGTAATCCCTCATTTTTTTTAAATGTGAATCATTACTACTAAAATTGTGGTACCAAAAATACAATATTAAAGTTGTCCTTCAAGCATATCTATTTATTATTGCAAAATAACCTCTATAATATATATAGAGATATGTTTACTTGAATCTTTTTGAGGCATCCAAGGAACATTTTCTCCTCTGCGCTTTCTTCTGCTGGCTCAATGCTGATGAAAGAAATTGACATTTTAACAGATCTTTCCCCTATACAATTATTAATACTGAGCATCACAAAAAAAACAAAAAACAGAGAAAACAATATTTCTGAGTGAATAACTGTTTATCCAATTCATCCCATAGCTTTCTCTAAAGATGCACAGTTGTACGGTGATATTTACGTCAAATTATTTTCATGGTCAATATTTGACCTTTAGATGACCGTGCTATTTTTAGCATAGTTAAAAAGTTTTAAATGAAACACATTGTGTGTTGGCATAAGAGAATGGCTGTGAAAAATAACCTCCAAAGAAATAATCCTTTTTGAAGGGACATTAATTATTCAATAATTATCATTTATGACTAGGTAAATAAATGTAATATTAATAAAAATAATAAAAAAACAACTTACCAGTAACTTTACATAATCTATATTTTATATGCATTTAGTAAGAAAGCTGTATTGCTGTTAGTGTGGTGTGGAGGTAATATAAATGAAGATAATCTGTTCCGTAGAGTATATATGTAATGAATTCTGTATTTTTCTTGGTACCCTCCCTTGCTTTTGGGTGATATATTGTCAGGGACTTGTTCTGAATCAAATAACAGTAAAACTAAAAAGTCTGTTCATGTAGTAACACAACATAGATATATCAGGAATATTTGTAATAGAAAATAGGAGATATTTATAATATGTTTAGGTTTGCTATATTAAGGTTTTTCTTTATGGCATTTAACTGACCAGAAATGTGCTTTTAGTATTGCATTTTGTCAGTAATTTAAATAATTAACAGCACTTGTAGAAGAAAGAAAATATCCTTAGAAAAACACTATGAACTTAGAAATGTTGTATGTGCATAAAGTGCATAAAGTGTTCCTGAGATGTTAAGAATATCCCTTTCCTCACCATCTGGGCTCCATTGGTGAGGAAGTCACTGATCCAAAGGCAGATGATCCAGTGCTGTTGAAATTCAGGGCCAGCGTGTCTATCTAAGTAGGTTAGGATCATCGTAGGTTTTACTGTTTGCTAAAAGGCAGAATAACGACATGCGATTCCTTTTAGCTCATCCTTCAGACATAGATTCTGACATGTATTTAGTATTCAGCAGAATTGCATTTTAAACTGTATGGCATGGGTCAAACATCTTGGTGTTCTTTCATGAGCTCTTGGTGTAGTGGCTTCTTCGTGGCTGGTTTTGCAACGTTCTCAGTTTCGGCTGATTGATGCCAGACTTTTAAAAGTTAACTGATTTTATTAAACTGATAATTAT